AAAAAATCTATAAGCATAATCTCTATTGATTTCAAATGTAGAACACAATTGAGTTGCTTTATATTAAACAAGTTTTTTTTTTATTACGTACACTTCAACCCCCAATGAAGTTGAAGGACCAATATTTCGAAATGCCTGGGCTGTGGTACGCGCGTAGATGTTACTTTTCACGATGCATAGAATTCAACAATAATCAACAAGCATATTTCTCCAAAAGAAATTGGATATTATTGAATTACATATTTGATGTTCTATTTCTATTAATCTGAAGAATCAATTTATTTCATAGCAACTTATTCTCACCTCTCGTCTATTACGATTCGAAAGTTTTGCATACGAATACTTACAAGCCTCTTCACTTTTGCTAACAATCGAAAAAGCTTTCTTGAATTGTGACCATGGATTAGCAAGATTGATATTTTGCTGAATATTCGGTTGAACGCACCAAGATCGTTTTACATTGAAGACAAGGATCAAAATAATTGACAGAACAACAAAAACATACGGTCGCATCATATTGATTCAGTAATAGAACCCAGTTATTCCTATTGTTTAGTCAATAGTTGGAAATAAATGATTGATGCACCTAAAAGAAATCAGTCAACTATTTATAAAAATAACTGTTAATATTTTGTGATAGTGACTCTTCAAAAAATAGCGATATTGCGTAGTATGTAAGAAAACAAGAAATAAAAAAATGAAGCATAGTCAACAAAGATAAGCTTCAGTCTGTTTCTAGACGTTATCTCACGCTATGATTATCGATTGACAATAGACCAGTGTACAGAGATCATTAATTGGTTCGTGTCAATAAAAAAAATCGATGCTACACAATCATAGAGAAGAAATGTAAATGGATCTTGTCAGTATTAGTTCTTGTAGAAGGAAATTTCGCAATAGGGAGGAAGTAGAAAGATTCATTACCATTTCCTACAAAAAAAAATCCCTGTGACGAACATGAAAAATAATTTTTTCTAAATAAAAATTTTTCTTCATCACTATTGACTTACTCCTGTTAGAATAAGATTTCAGAACATGGGCAGGCTCGTTAGAGATGCAATGATGTAAAAAATAGCATATATTAACAAGACGATGAAAAACAAGTGATTCATGTCGTCGTTGAAACTTTTTTGTTCTGCATCGTGTTGCCTACGTGTATTATTTTAATCATTAAAAAAATATCGACGCTCGTTACACTGCATGTTGCAAGAGGAGAACAGAATCAGAGGGCAAAATTCTGTTTTCTATGCTTTCATCATATTTTTTTATCGATTACTATGGGCAGAATAGACGTACCTGTTTTTTTTGTTTCAAATTGATTTTTAAATCGATAGTTGTTTATGTGAGTTTATTTAAAGTGGGCCTATGTAATAGAATTTTTATTTCTATCTATTTGTATTCTCAATAGAATCATAATCAGACAAATCATGTTTCTTTTAGGTGTGCAGTATGAGTTTGAGTATGACATGTGTCCGCCTATGTGAATAGGACTATGTACTTTGAACCGGTTGAATATCTACGCGCTGACGGATCTTTAATGTAAAGATTCTTTTCCCTTCAGGATTGAGTCACCATATAGGAAGAACAATTTGGGCTGAAAATTTCAGGAATGAATGGCCCTAGTGAGAAAAACTTGTGGCGAGAATTTTAGCCTGATATAATCTATCAAACCGAACTTTCAGGTTTCTTGTTTTAGCTTCCAAGATCACGACAGTAAATCATACTTTTCTTACTCCAGCAATCAAATATTAAAAATCGATCCGATCAAAAGGTAGCTCTGATTCAGATCTTTAAAAGCAAAAAAAAACTAGTGATATCACGAGCTAGGTGAACGTTATTTTAATTTTTCTGTCTGGATTTAATTTAATAATTAAACGAAACATTATATCTTACTTAATATTATGTTCATTCTTTTTTGACAAAATTCATATTTTGTAAATGAAGAGCAAACAATACAAGAAATGAGTTGCTGTCGAAAAGATAGAGAAGAACAATTAATTCTGCTAATCTGAGATCTTACCGACCGTCGATTATGATATATATAGCAAATAATGACCACCATATGTGGTCAGAATTACGAATAAGCGTGTAATGCACAAAATAACCTTATAGGGCAATCACTTACGGTTCTTTCACGCGTCAGTTGTAAACAACAGCCCTGTAAGATCGTATTGTTGTAGGTTATTCATGTTAGAGAAAAATTTATGTTTATTCCATATATAACTTAAGGAGACATTTGTCATGATGCATAAAATGTCTGAATATTATAGAAGGCGCCATATCAGTTCATTTGTGATCTTCTATTCTGGGTGTAATGTTAGCTAGTAGTTCTTTGTAACTGCTGTTATTTATAAATCAGGCAAAACAACTTTTGTATTGCTATTCCCAAGACTGAAAGTATAGGGTCTAGAAACTGAAACTCACCTGTGTCTGCCTTTCTGCAACATGGGCACTATCGACTGTTTCTGTAGTACAAAAGACCAGTATCGATGGTAAGAATGATCGCACCTGTAGTCATTCGTTCCCTCCATATGATCACTGATTGAGTTCAAATAATCACCACTGTGGCCCAAACGATCGAAAACATCCCTCTAGTAATCTAATCGCAACCGCTGGTTGGGGCACGAAGCCAAGGGGGAAAACTGATTCCATTGGCTTTGTGTGATTTCATTGACCCTGAATTAAGATCGAAAAGCTGCTCCCAGGCCTTCGAAATCGTTGAACTCACTTAGGAAAGCACCAGTCTAGTCGGACTGGGTACTCTGGAGATTGACCTAAAGTTGATTCAATGAACGGAATTTATTTTTTGACTGACGGGTGTGGGTGTATGGGTGTAGGTGCGATTGTCAGTGTGAGTAAGGGAGAGAGGTGCTCTCTTCTTTAAAACAGACCCACACCCACACCGTTAAACATTCAAAGAACGTTTATTGTAATTCAATGATTAATTTTATTATATACACTGATCATTTGTATTAATTATTGTTATCATTATCAACAGGTGTGTTTTAAAATGTTATTTAAACTTGATTCTCACCGATTCTGTTCGCATTTCAAAACACTATAATTAATCTATACCTAAAGATTTTTTATATGAAAAGGAAGTAACTTACAATAATAACGTCAGTAAATTGTATGGAATGATTTGAAATCCCCTTGGGTCGTTAGAATCATATGTTTAATTTTCATGTTTTATGACATGGAAGACTCATCTGCACAGTCTATTACAGAACGTATATTCTCCAATTATAAATGTACTCTTTCTTTTCAAAACAATGGAGTGAAAACCAAGATAATAATTTACAAATTTGCGCTTATCAAAAGGATCTGAATACAAACAACGACGTTGCTAGTTGATGTCGAAGGTGATTTGCAAGGACATGCTGTACTGAATAAAAGAGNTCCGCATGAAAAACTACAGTCTAAAACAGTTTTTTTATTGTAAAATATTTCTTATCGAAATTTCATCCGTACAGGACTGCAGGGTAGAGTTTTAAGGCTAAATGGTTCAGGAGTCTGATGAAATTTCGATAAGAAATATTTTACAATAAAAAAACTGTTTTAGTCTGTAGTTTTTCATGCGGATTCCGCATATCACATTTGTTTTCAATAAAAGTCAGCTTTTCATAATAAAAACCATGAAATATCCCCTTTTAAACTATATAGTATGACAGGTCGTCCTTCTCTAAGTGCACTGTATTTTTTCTGATAACACTTAAGTATCTAAGGTTGGACTTAGTAACTTAAAATCATCATACCATCTACAATAAAAAAAATCGCTAAATAAGAAAACATTAGCTAGTCAAGAGAAAGTATAATGTATAGAAAATAAATCAGCATTTTCAGATATAACGTATGAATGACAGAGAAAAGACAACTTTTAATCAAAAGTGTTTTATTTTTCTCAACAACCAAAAAAGTAAGATATCTTTAGTGGTAGAACTTGATGTGCTCTATCATTAGTAGAAATATCAAAGCAATTGGTTATTGCCGCATAAAATGCGACAGACCGACATTTTAGTAAGAAAATACAGAAACACAGGCAAAATAGACTTTTCTAACGGTACTTGGTAAGTCCTTCTATGATTGACAAACACTTCTAAATTTTTCCATGTGGAAGGAGAATATCTCAATAGTTATAGTTAGAAAAACAAGAATTCGAAAGTCTCACAAATTGAAATACAAAAGTCACTTTAATTAAAGAAAATCACCTCAAAATCGATTAAAAGTCAATATTAAAAATTATTAAAAATTCCGTTAGTATTTCGATGGTTTATGTTAGAAGAGGTGATCTGATCGGATGAAGAATTTCAGAAAATACTAAATTCACTATTCCCTATAAGATATAAAGCATCAGCGAATTCTGAGATGTCATTCCATCATCGATGTCTGAATCTCTCAGATACTTACTCATAATTTATTTCATTAAAAGGATATGGATGCCGGTCTGGTAATGAAAAATACGTTGGACCCACACCCATCATCCATTCTGTTTCTCGTCATAGTGGTGTAGGAGTTGGACAATAAAATGTCTATAACGTTAAGGAGCGAACGAAGAAAAAATAACTTTTTATTCTCTCTCGAAGAAAAGGATACCAATTCCAATGTTTTTCTTTCCTTCTCATTCATTTACGGGAAAGGATTAGATGTTTGACTTTGCATTCGAATATTGTTGATAATAATGATCGAGCAAAAAAAAAAAAAAAAACCGAGTAGTTTTTCAAACTTCGGGCACTCTCTATCGTGTGCGCTATACGTAATCATTGTGCATCTGTTGTTTTCAATTATTCTCTTGCATCATCCTCTACATGTGTGCATCTTCAACTCAACTATAAAAAACATACGAGTCAAGGTTGTCATCTCTCATTCTTTCTTAAATTCACTAACATATAATGTCGTCTAAACTTTTCTTCTTCGCTCTGTTGTCGGTGGCAATCGTGACGATCGTGCATGGTGGATCATTCGTGGACTATGACGATGAATCGTGTGTTCCTCAAGTTTATATGCACAGCGGTGAATGCTCGGCCACAATAAGCGTACATACAGACTGCAAATCATCGACAGTCGATTTGACTGATACTGAAATTGCGAATTCATGTACTACAGGCAGTTTCTTCTGGTCCTATCCAACTAACAATCTAACAATAATAATCAAGACACCATTCACTAAAAAACAAGAAGCATTCAAAATCGATATCGACAATCAACAATTAATGCAATACGTCTTACATGTCTATCGTGTATTCGACGATAAAGAGTTGGAAGTAACAACGACTGCTGATCGACTCATTCAAGATTCGTCAAATTATGAGATTGCTCTCAAGTTTGAAGGTCCACCTAATTTGATGTACTATGGTGTATTTATCAATTATAATGTCATTAAAAACGACAGAAAATAATAAAATAAAAGTATTTTTGAATTAGAAAAACAAGAGACTCGTAATCTCGATATATGATTGTTCAAATTGGAAACAAATATTACTGATAAATGAACTTTTAAAAAAATATCATAAGCAAAAACGTCAAAGGGAACAGATGAAGCCCAGGGTGTGGGTGCTGGTGAGTGTGGGTATGGGTATGGATGTAGGTGTTGACGTGGATGGGTGTGGGTTGTGGAGTGTGAGCATGGGGGCGGGAGTGCGATTGTGGATGCAGGTGAGTACTCGACATTCACACCGAAACCCACATCCACACGCCCACACTCACGTGTAGAAACGAAAGGATAAGAAAAAGAGCGGGTAAAGGAAAAGATGCGTAAGCTGATCTGTCAGTTCTAAGTATGAAATTGAAATAGTAAACAAACTTGACGGGGGATGTGTAACAGGCAAGACAATATGTGATTGATGCAATACCGATAGTTGGGCATGAACTGGAACAGCTCACAATCACCGGACAAAGGTTAAAAAAGAATGGGAGAAGAGTAAACTGAATGTGAAACAAAAAGAAAAGACTCGAACTAAACAAATTTCAAATTGAATTCAATTTAAAAAAAATAAAATTATCAATAGCCGATTATATAGAACCACAGCCCATGTCAGAATTCATCACATAAAGAAACATCGAATAGTAAAAACACTTTTGCAACTTATAGCTATACAAGCACAACGAAATTTGAAGTATAGCACTATTTCAATAAAAATCAATGGTATATCTTCCTCAGAAAATCGTTTCAAGATTCGTGATTGTACATATCACCATTGTGGTTTCTGAATACAAGAATGAGTCAGACAGATATATAGGAATATCAGAGAATTCAGAATTGATGTAATAGAAAACATGCCGTAAACGAGAATTTTTTGTTAAAGAGAATAATTTAGAAATACGAAAACTAAATATAGACAACCTGGGTTCGAATAAGTGTGTTAGATGAGGGAGCTGATGATTCATTGAGTTCGATTGGTTGTGATTGCCATGTATAACAGTTTTGGATGGTATGTAGTTTATACTTTCATATATGCATGGAAGAAATACAGCATCAAGGAAAAGGTGGAGAGTGGAGATGAGAACTGAGTCAAGAATGACTAGAGAATGATGCACGAATAGGAATATTCATATGTGTGCACGAGAGAGACAAAGAAAGAAAGAAAAAGAGGAAGAGAATGAATAAGAGTATGATGGTATAGAGAGCAATCACTCACAGTGATGAGTGCATGATCAATGAATCCGTCACACTTAGAACAAGTTTGACATTACTATACGTCGAAATTTTTCCTTAATCAACAATTCGAAAGCCCAATCAATTAGATCAAGGCTTCGCATTGCAAACAATTTTATTTAAAAATCGTGTTTCGAAAGCGATTGATGAATTGACATAGCGGACTGTTTGCATTGTAATAGGGTTCACGGATTTAGTACATTCTTCACCACCATATCAATAATAGTCTTTGACAAAAGTATGAGTAAAATGATACAATCGAAATGCTGGGCTCGATTATCGTTACCATTCGCCGACTGTCTTTGTTGTATGCTTACATATTCACTAGACCGTTCGAAACGGCATCACTTTGTACACAATCATTTTAGGTGAAGTGAGCGAAAAACTTAACAAAAATAAATTTATATGAGAGTGATTGGCAGAAGGAATAATAAATCAAAGTAGAAAATGGATAAACTGCCGTGAAAATCATATCTTCAATGTGAAACGTAGTTTATATGACTCGTGAAAAAAAAATAGATATATAGGCTCTATGTGATATCTGTTCGAAATATAAATTTGTTCTTTTGAATAAAAATCACATAGAACCTATATATCTATTATTTATTTATTTATTTCGTGAATCGAATAAACTAACTTTTACGTGTCATCATGTATCTGATGATGATACCAGATAAGTTATCGAAAGTTCACACATTTTCTTCAATAAAATAAAAATAAATTCTTATGCTTCTATACAAATAATTTATGATAAAAAATAACTTAGTTACGTATTCAATACATTGCGGAACCAACAGACTAGACGAGTAACATGTCTAACCACTAGCGTAAATTTTGCCTTTGATTTTATTCTCCCTCTATTTTATGAGAGACGATTTAAAAATAATGTCGATCTATAAGGTTAGAAAGTTAGATCCACTCACAGCCTTCCCAAAGATCGTGACAAACATCTCAGTATTACGGCTTTATCCTTGCTGACTATGGCATTATACATACCCACGATACAGAATTTTGCTTTTCACACTCACTATAACCTATATTCAATCATAATGAACGTTCTTCAGAGATATTTCAAAAGAAAACATAAAATTTACATGAACACATTTTCAAAAAATAGATTTAATTCTGTTGTTTCATGATAAAATCATCCACAGTCATTTCCAGTAATGTCTATATTAAAATTATTACCAACTGGTAATTCTCCCCCTGGGTTTTTCTTCTTATTCTTCTCACTTAATTTGGCCAACAGTGGTTGTATCCTTCTCAAAAGTTCAGCTACTTGTGCATGTGCACCACCTATTTTCACGTCTAAGTGAGCACAGCATATATTGTCAAATGGCCAATCATTCAACATGTTGCGCATCCAATCTCGAAATAAGTAGGGAGCTTCGACTGTTGGATGGAGACCGGAACCTTTGATCGATGGGTGAAAGACCATTACGCCGTGCGAGAATCCAAATAATTTGAGAAGAAAACCAAACTTGTCTGTATAATTAATAGTATCATCAACATGAAGTGTACCCGATAATCGATGATAGATGAATACACTCATTAAGCGATTGGATGATTCTTGTAGATTGATAAATTCACCACCTAAGATAGAATTAGATAAATGATTCACATATTCAGATCACTCATAAGTTCAAAGCATCTAATCTATTCTGAACTTGTTTGCACTAGTGCGTTTAATTATTAGTGCTGTCTAAAGCGCAAAAAATCTGTTTTATGAGAATGTGAGTTCCTAAGCTTTTAAGATTTTTTTTAAAAACTAATTAATAAAAAAGACATTCTGTTTAGAGAAAAAATAAAAATTGTAAAATTTTTGTCAAGATATTTTGTTACGAGTTGTTATCAACGAGACAGCAGCGTGATGGTATGACAACAGAACAGAGAAAAGACAATCCCCCTTTACATGAAATCGAACTATGCATTTCTTGGTTAGCGGGCAGTCGTATTAATCACTGTACTAGAAATGTTATTTTCTCTCTGTCTTACAACCGGATGGGAATAAACCGATCATAACATATATGGAAAATTATTTTAGAAGTTTACCGCATATTAAAATATTTCTTAAACATAGTCAAAGTATCCTTTCATTTACCTGCTGAAATGCGCATTTCTACATCTGGTTCCCATTTTTGTCTTACATTACAATCATCAAGACTGCCTAACCATGGAATTTCTGGTAATATACGTAAGTGTCTTGGCGTTCCATAGTAAGCGGCTTGTGGATATGTTTGATAAAATGCTAGAAATGATCGAGTATGAAATGGATGTACACCAATCACTCCCTCGATCAAATCTCCATTGTTTGTCAGCTGATTTATTTGTTTTCTAAGATGATTATTCAGTTCGACTGTGTCAAAAATAACGAAATTTCCATTGCTCAATTGAACGATGGACATTTGTGTTCCAATATCAGCCATGTTAGCGAACATTTTAAAATGACCACGAATATTCCAAAAACAAGGACCAATTTCGTATAATTCGTTCTTTTTACGACTTTTGGAATGTTTATTTAATGCCATGATGCGAAGCGAAACAAAGTATTAACAAATCTAAAAAGAAGAGTAGATAGATAGATCGAATATCATTGTACATAAAAAAAAATTGGTAGTTGCGCTTCTTTGGTTGTTATCATTATGAATAGAAAAAATACAAATTAATAAAGCATGACAACGATAACATGTATGAATCATGTTGATTGGCGTCAGCAAGGACACTACTATTTTTGACTACTGTCGAAAGTACAGATGAACATAGACCAAATGAATTAACTTCTTTCTGTTGCATAACAATACTATTTATTTAGATGAGAGCAGATTTGTACGTCATTAAACAACACATGTAAGAAATAAATAGATGTTATGTTTTACAGACAGATTGAAAGACGCTTCTTTTTTTTCCCCATCTAATAACTTGAGGATGTGAGTATAAGAATCAGTAATAGAAAAAAAAAAGATGCAGAGGGCACTAATGTGTAAATGTAATTTGCTTTAAAAATGATTATGCGAAATTTTCGGAATAACTAAATTAGTACATCCACACGATAATCAAAATTGAGATCATTTAATAAAAAAAAAAATCATTCAATAATATCCATTGCACAATATTTATACTCAAAGTGCAGCAGAAAATTTTAAATCTGCTACCAAAAGCATGAAATCTTATCAAGAAAGAAGTTTGCATCATTACGTAGAAATTGCTATGATCAGTGTCAGATTTCTTGCTAAAATATTTGTTAAAAAATTAAACATGCATGCTATATTACCTGATATGAAAAGAAGCTGGATTCATGAGAAATGAAAATTTAATGAGTTGTTTTTTCGTCATGCACACATCATTAGTCATCGTGTAACTGAATCATGTTTGTCATTACAGGTGGATGAGTATAGTGTGTATATAATAAAAGAATATTCTTTATTTGTTTATGTTTGAATGATACAATCAAATAGACCAACGTATGTTCTAAACGACATCACTACAGAGATATATATTCGATAGTGAAGTTAAATCAAATGGCAAATTGTGCACATGAGAAACGTTCATCGCTAATGATCATGATGAAATCAGTAGTTTAAGACAATGTGTATCGACGCAGATGTAAAGACATTGTTCATGTTTAGGTTTTTTAAATATTATTTGTTCTTAAGGAAAGAAAAATATTATAGAAAAAAAGACCTGTTGATTAGGTGTAATGTGATACAGTGTTTTTATTTGATAATAATTCTCCATGAAAGAGAA